GGCTCCGAGTCAACTGGTATGACCGCGGGCAACTGGGTCAGACATTGGATCGTCTGACTGGACAGCGGGCATCGGGTCACCAGGCATCAGGTCATTTGGCTCGACAGCGGGCACCGCGTCATCTGGCAAGGCAGTGGGCTCCGAGTCAACAGGCACGACAGTGGGCACCGGGTCACCAGGCATTGGATCGTCTGGCTCGACAGCGGGCATCGGGTCACCAGGTATGACAGCGGGCCCTGGGTCACCAGGCATCAGGTCATTTGGCTCGCCAGCGGGCACCGCGTCATCTGGCAAGGCAGTGGGCACCGAGTCACCAGGTACGACAGCGGGCTCTGAGTCAATTGGCACGATAGCGGGCACCGGATCAGGTACCGGATCATCTGGATCAACAGCGGGCATCGAGTCAATTGGCCTAATAGGATCGTCAGGCTGGATCAGTTCATCATGCTGGGTAGAGGCATCAGGCTGAATGCCGGCGTCCGGCTGAGTAGAGGCTTCAGGCGGAGTAGAGGCCGAGTAGAGGCATCCAGGCCGAGTAAGAGGCATCAGGCCGAGTAGAGGCATCAGGCCGAGTAGAGGCTTCAGGCCGAGTAGAGGCTTCAGGCCGAGTAGAGGCTTCAGGCCGAGTAGAGGCATCAGGCCGAGTAGAGGCATCAGAGAGGATCAGGCTGAGTACAGGCATCAGGCTGAGTAGGGGATTCAGGCTGAGTAGAGGCTTCAGGCTGAACCACGGAAGGCAGGTTCTCAGACGGCAGGTTCACCGTTTGGATACTGGCAGGATGGTATTGGTTTGGAAAGAATTTTCGCTTTTTTCTGGTTTTAACTACTGGAGCACTGCAAGTAAATGCAGGTCTGCAAACGAATGGAGCAGCTGGAGACAGAGAAGAACTGGAGGATGGAACAGGAGAGGGAGCAGTTGCTACAGAGGGCTTTTTTACAGGGTTAAAGGCAGGATAGGTGCAGCGAGTGGGAACAGGGTACGAACATGCGGTAGATAGCCAAGTATACTGGGCTGTAACTGGGGGAGTTGTTGGGAATACAGGAGTAGAGCTTTGAGGAAATAGATTAGAAGCAGGACTGGGTCTTTGTAAGCTGACTGAGGCTGGGTGCAACAAGTCTGTCCATGTCTGCAGTATGGGTTGAACAAAGCTGAGCTTACACAAAGCCTGTCTGACCAAAGACTGCACTGCGTTTATACAATCTCTTAGTACCTGTGGTGAACATGTGGAATAACGCTCCAGAAAGTAACCCACATCATCCTCTAATAACCACACCAGGGACTCTACCTGGTCTGCACTAAATGGTGGCAAAAATTCATCCCTGCATTCGGGGGAACCAGATGAAACCAACTCAACACAAACCTTAATCAATGGCTGCACCATAGAGAAATCTGTGCCCTGATCTACTAGAACATGAGCGAGCCGTATACATTCTAGCAGTTCATCCCGGGGATACTCCTTCAGAGTTTGATAAGCATATTTTCTGTCATCAAACACTAGCAGAGATAAATACTCAACCTCATCCAGATCCATCCTTCCCAGCAACAAGCCAAGATGGCTTCCCTGTGCAGCCACTTCTGGTCAGGATTGGCCTTGGTGTAATGTCAGGGCTCCCAGGTGTGACCAGAGGTGTGTGACTGACGCAGGGAAACGCAGACTTCAGATATGTGATAAACAATATAATTTATTAACACTAACCATACAAACATAAACGCAGTGCAATACTAAAACATAATACAGTGCAAACAAACCAAACCAACCACCCACAGATAACAGTACATACAAGCAAGCGTCGTCAGGCAGGCCGGGTCAATATCAATAGGGCAGGTAGGTACAGGGGGAGCAAGCGGAGATGGGTCGGGGTCACAGGCCAGGTTCAGCAGGTAGCTAGCAGCGTAGTACAGAGGGTCAGGCAGAGGGATGGTCAGGGTCACAAGCCAGGGATCAGAACAGGTAGCAAGCAGCGTGGTACAGAGGGTCAGGCAGAGGGATGGTCAGGAGCGAGCCGGGATCAGAGCAGGAGAAGTCAGCAGCGGTTCAGATCAGGCAGGGTCAGCAAAGGAACAGAAACAGGATGCAGGACAGATACAGGGCCCAGGACAAACACAACACCAAGGCAGAGTCTGCAAGTCTGGCCATCCCTTAAATACACCAGTATCATCAGTTCCAGGTGTTAGCTGGCTGAAAGGTTGAGTCTCTGATTGCTGGGAGCACCCGCTGGCCAGCCCTGGTACTGCAGATCAAAAGGCAGGTGAGTCCCACCATTGCTGGCCAGTCCATTCCTGACAGCTTCTAGCCTATGTTTCACCACAGGGAGCAGAGGTAATAAATTTAGTTGCAGGTAGTCACCAACCCTAGGCAACCCTAGAGTCAGCATATACCTGAGCCCCAGTGTCAAATGGCATAATACTAGACTTCGCCCCAATTGACTCTAAGGCCCAAAAACCTGGCACAATCCGCTAAAATTTGAAAAAACAGCATGCAAAGTCGGACCTGTGTACTGTAGAAAAAGTAGCAAATCAGCAGCGTATAGAGCCGTACATTCACGAATACCTCGCACCTCAAGAGTGTTCACTGCTGAAGACATCTGCAAAGCTATAGCTATTGGCTCAGTCATACATGCAAACAGGAAAGGAGATTGGGGCACCTCTGCTGTGTACCTCTGCCCACTGGGAAAAAAGAGATCTCCATGCCTATATGGAGAGCCGCAACTGGACTACTGTACAACAGAGTAATCCATGTTAAAAACCGTGGCCTAAACCCCATGTGGTGTAATACAGTGGCCATATATGTCCAATCCACTTAAAAGCCTTCTCCATATTCAGGGAAAGTACTACCCTTGACTCCTGAGTAGTATGCTCCACCTGCAGGTGTGTGAACAGCCTTCTCAAGTTGGTGTCAGCGGATTTTGCAGGAATGAATCCTGTTTGATTAGCATCCACCAAAGTGGTAAGTACCTTTGATAGCCTAATGACCAAGATTTTAGTAAGGATTTTCAAATCCTGATTCAGGAGGGCAATAGGCCAATAGGAGGAGCACTCCATGGGATCCTTGCCCGGTTTTGGCAACAATGCTACATGAGCCTCAAGTAACGAGGAGGGTAGTACTTGATTGTCCAAACAATAAGGATACAGGGATATAAGCTTAGGAATGAGGGTTTCTATGTGCAATCTGTACCATTCAATAGAGAACCCACCTGGCCCAGGTGATTTGTGGGGAGGGGAAGTCCTAATGGTTAGTTCTATTTATTCCCCCTTAATGTCTTCCAGCCTGTCTCTATCCACTAACGATAACGAGGGTATGAGGAGTGTTCTAAGCATCTGCTCTAGATTTCCCTCATTGCAGGAAGTGGCGCATATAAGGCTTCATAGTAACTTACAAATGTGCTCAGAGTATCAGAAGGAGAGGTAACTAGAATCCCTTGTGAGTTCCTGATGCAGGGTATATTATCTGAGCCTTCTGTTTTGCAACCAGTAGAGCCAACTGTAGCAATCGTGCACACAGAGATGGACGCGGTCCTCCATTTTTTTAAGAATCTTCCATTTTGTACCATCTCTCACTCCCAAAGCAGGCTTCCTCCTCCAATCATCCCCCTCCCTCTCTGTTGAGTGACATGTGGTCTGGGTGATGACAGAGGTCACAGGCTGTCAGGGCTCCCGGGTATGACCAGAGGTGTGTGACTGACGCAGGGAAACGCAGACTTCAGATATGTTATAAACAATGTAATTTATTAACACTAACAATACAAACATAAACACAGTGCAATACTAAAACATAACACAGTGCAAACAAACCAAACCAACCACCCACAGATAACAGTACATACAATGCAAGCGTCGTCAGGCAGGCCGGGTCAATATCAATCGGGCAGGTAGGTACAGGGGGAGCAAGCGGAGAATGGTCGAGGTCACAAGCCAGGTTCAGCAGGTAGCGGGCAGAGTGGTACAGAGGGTCAGGCAGAGGGATGGTCCGGAACGAGCCGGGGTCAGAGCAGGAGAAGTCAGCAGAGGTCAGATCAGGCAGGGTCAGCGACAAGACAGGAACAGGATGCAGGAACAGGATACAGGGCTCAGGAAAAACACACACCAAGGCAGAGTCTGCAGGTCTGGCCATCCCTTAAATACACCAGTATAATCAGTTCCAGGTGTTTGACTGGCTGCAAGCTTGAGTCTCTGATTGCTGGGAGCACCCGCTGGCCAGCCCTGGTACTGCAGCTCATAAGGCAGGTGAGTCCCACTATTGCTGGCCAGTCCATTCCTGACAGTACCCCCCCCCCCTCAAGGAGCGGCCTCAGGACGCTCCAAACAGTCCTAGCTGGGCAAAATGTTCCACCGCCCGGGTCTGGTAACTGGCGGGATATCAAAGACTGGCACACCGGGCAGGGGCACACCGGGCAGAGGCACATCGGGCTGGACTCCGGGCAGAGGCACATCGGGCTGGACACCGGGCAGAGGCACATCGGGCTGGACTCCGGGCAGAGGCACATCGGGCTAGACTCCGGGCAGAGGCACATCGTGCTGGACTCCGGGGAGAGAGGCACATCGGGCTGGACTCCAGGCAGAGACACTCCGGGCAGCGGCACACCGGGCAGAGGCACTCCGGGGCAGAGGCACATCGGGCTGGACTCCGGGCAGAGGCACATCGGGCTGGACTCCGGGCAGAGGCACATCGGGCTGGGCTCCGGGCAGAGGCACATCGGATTACCAGGCGAAGCAGCAGGCAGCGGGCCACCAGGCGGAGCAGCAGGCAGCGGGCCACCGGGCGGAGCGGCAGGCAGCGGGCCACCGGGCAGAGCGGCAGGCACCGGGCGGAGCGGCAGGCACCGGGCAGAGCGGCAGGCACCGGGCCCCCGGGCGGGGCGGCAGGCACCGGGCCCCCGGGCGGGGCGGCAGGCACCGGGCCCCCGGGCAGAGCGGCAGGCACCGGGCCCCCAGGAGGGGCAACAGGCATCGGGCCCCCAGGCGGAGCAACGGGCGCCGGGCCCCCAGGAGGGGCAACAGGCACCGGGCCCCCAGGAGGGGCGACAGGCATCGGGCCCCCCAGCGGGGCGACAGGCATCGGGCCCCCAGGTGGAGCGGCGGGCGCCGGGCCCCCAGGAGGGGCGGTGGGCTTCGGGCCCCCAGGAGGGGCGACGGGCATTGGGCACCCAGGAGGGGCGACGGGCATTGGGCCCCCAGGCGGGGCGACGGGCATCGGGCCCCTAGGCGGAGCGGCGGGCGCCGGACCCCCAGGCGGAGCGACAGGTCTCGGGCCCCCAGGCGGAGCGGCGGGCGCCGGACCCCCAGGCGGAGCGACAGGTCTCAGGCCCCCAGGCGGAGCGACAGGTCTCAGGCCCCCAGGCGGAGCGGCGGGCGCCGGACCCCCAGGCGGAGCGACCGTGGGCTCCGAGTCAACTGGCATGACCGCTGGCACTGGGTCAGACATTTTGGATCGTCTGGCTGGACAGCAGGCATCGGGTCACCAGGCATCGGGTCATTTGGCTCGACAGCGGGCACCGCATCATCTGGCAAGGCAGTGGGCTCCGAGTCAACTGGTATGACTGCGGGCACTGGGTCAGACATTGGATCGTCTGGCTGGACAGCGGGCATCGGGTCACCAGACATCAGGTCACTTGGCTCAACAGCGGGCACCGCGTCATCTGGCAAGACAGTGGGCACCAAGTCACCAGGCACGACAGTGGGCTCTGAGTCAATTGGCACGACAGCGGGCACCGGGTCATCAGGTACCGGATTGTCTGGCTCGACAGCGGGCATCGGGTCACCAGGTATGACAGCGGGCACTGGGTCACCAGGCATCAGGTCATTTGGCTCACCAGCAGGCACCGCGTCATCTGGCAAGGCAGTGGGCACCGAGTCACCAGGTACGACAGCGGGCTCTGAGTCAATTGGCACGATAGCGGGCACCGGATCAGGTACCGGATCATCTGGATCAACAGCGGCATCGAGTCAACTGGCCTAATAGGATCGTCAGGCTGGATCAGTTCATCATGCTGGGTAGAGGCATCAGGCTGAATGCAGGCATCCGGCTGAGTAGAGGCATCAGGCTGAGTAGAGGCTTCAGGCTGAGTAGAGGCATCAGGCTGAATAGAGGCATCAGGCTGAGTAGAGGATTCAGGCTGGAGAGTAGAGGCTTCAGGCTGAACCACGGAAGGCCGGTTCTCAGACGGCAGGCTCACCGGTTTGGATACTGGCAGGATGGTATTGGTTGGAAAGAATTTTCGCTTTTTTCTGGTTTTAACTACTGGAGCACTGCAAGTAAACGCAGGTCTGCAAACGAATGGAGCAGCTGGAGACAGAGAAGAGCTGGAGGATGGAACAGAGGGAGCAGTTGCTACAGAAGGCTTTTTTACAGGGGTTAAAGGCAGGATAGGTGCAGCGAGTGGGAACAGGGTACTGACATGCGGTAGATAGCAGGGCAGGAGGAGCTGTTGGGAATGCAGGAATAGAGCTTTGAGGAAATAGATTAGAAGCAGGACTGGGTTTTTGTAGGCTGACTGAGGCTGGGTGCAACAAATCTGTCCATGTCTGCAGTATGGGTTGAACAAAGCTGAGCTTACACAAAGCCTGTCTGAGCAAAGACTGCACTGCGTTTATACACATCTCTTAGTACCTGTGGTGAACATGCAGCATAATGCTCCAAGAAGCAATCCACATCATCCTCTAATAACCATACCAGGGACTCTACCTGGTCGGCACTAAATGGCGGCAAAAATTCATCCCTGCATTCGGGGGGTACCAGATGAAACCAACTCCGCACAAATCTGAATCAATGGCTGCACCTCAGAGAATTCTGTGCCCTGATCTACTAGAACATGAGCGAGCCGTATACATTCTAGCAGTTCATCCCGGGGATACTCCTTCAGAGTTTTATAAGCATACTCTCTGTCATCAAACACTAGCAGATATAAATACACAACCTCATCAAGATCCATCCTTCCCAGCAACAAGCCAAGATGGCTTCCCTGTGCAGCCACTTCTGGTCAGGATTGGCCTTGGTGTAATGTCAGGGCTCTCGGGTATGACCAGAGGTGTGTGACTGACGCAGGGAAACGCAGACTTCAGATATGTTATAAACAATGTAATTTATTAACACTAACAATACAAACATAAACGCAGTGCAATACTAAAAACATAACACAGTGCAAACAAACCAAACCAACCACCCACAGATAACAGTACATACAATGCAAGCGTCGTCAGGCAGGCCGGGTCAATATCAATCGGGCAGGTAGGTACAGGGGGAGCAAGCGGAGAATGGTCGGGGTCACAAGCCAGGTTCAGCAGGTAGCAAGCAGAGTGGTACAGGGTCAGGCAGAGGGATGGTCAGGAACGAGCCGGGGTCAGAGCAGGAGAAGTCAGCAGAGGTCAGATCAGGCAGGTTCAGCGACAAGACAGGAACAGGATACAGGGCCCAGGAAAAACACACACCAAGGCAGAGTCTGCAGGTCTGGCCATCCCTTAAATACACCAGTATAATCAGTTCCAGGTGTTTGACTGGCTGCAAGCTTGAGTCTCTGATTGCTGGGAGCACCCACTGGCCAGCCCTGGTACTGCAGCTCATAAGGCAGGTGAGTCCCACTATTGCTGGCCAGTCCATTCCTGACACAGGCAATCAAGGCACAGCAGGAGAGCTCCAGAGCTATAAAACCCCCAGCCTAGCTGGTGCCTAGATGCCTGTTAGCTTCGCAATCTAGGATATTGTAAAGCTATAAACCAAGTTCTTCCCTGAGCACAAAGGCATTCCAGAGAGTCGTAAAAACAGACTTACATTTAAAAACTCATTTTTTCATATAAGTTTAGATCTTCACGTAGGACATAATTACCTAAACATGGAGCCCATTATTGGAAGGCTCAATGTAAGGCCATTCTCCTGATTTATTACATTCCCTACCTGACATATATAGGAGAGCAGGAAATTATATCTCCTAAACCATTCAAGCTGATATTTCGTGATTCATGTCTAACCGTTCAGCAGGAGATTCTGCGTAATAATCTACTTCTGGATAGGATGCTGTATGTATCCAGGGTAAATTATGAACCATAATATAAGCTATGAGAGTTTTTGGTCATACCTTGGGTCTCCACCTACAAACTCCCTCCCCAAATGAGGCGATTGGTTTACTGCTCCAGGGAGACACCCTGTGGAGCTCCTAGAAAAAGCTAAGCTTAGTTGAGCTGTGGGGGAAAGTTGAAGATTCTGGAAACTGACAATGGGAGATAAATCCTTTTGGCTCATGAAACTTGAAGCTGCTTAACCCAAGGCTTTTTAGCAAGTACTTTATCTACCTAAACTTCTTTCTGTTATCTCTTTACTGTGCTGTTGTTCTCTGTATATTTATATATATATTGGCTACATCTTTTTCTGTAAATATTTTTAGTGCACCCTTTTGACCTTTTAGTAATAAACCTTACTTTCTATAAGTGTTGAACTGTTTCTAAAGCTCTTTAATGCAAATTACGAATTTCTGCCGCTGAAGAGTGCTACTATGTGTGTGTTTAACCCTCTGTATAACCTGCCTGCGGTGACAGTGGTATACAGACGATTATCCAACCATCATAGTGTTATTGCTAATATTGCAGAGTTTCAGCTTTCTCTGTACAAGAAGGAGGTGGTGGCAGTGTGAAGGGTTAATTGCGTAATTAACCTGACCCAGTAACAATCGCTCCCAGGCTGCAGATACACAGATTGTGGTCCATTAGCTGGAAAATCTGTGTGCAGAGTGCACCTGGGCGTGGCATTGTTACGCACATTACAGTGTGGTTTTAGATTGGCTAGTCCTTCGGTCACGAGTTTGATGAGAAGGGCTGGGGTCTGACGCCGTGATCGTCACACCAACAATTTCCTATTCTTGTCACCTTGGTCAAAGTCTCAGCCCCCTTAACCCAGGAAGTCTGCGTCAGCTCAGTGAAATGTATAGCCAGTTTACCGCGGAATTCTAAGAGTTTCCATTTTAAGTTTATTCTGATGGGGAAGAGTCATGAGCAGCCTCACAGACTCGCTCCTCCTCTTGAAAGTTCCTCAACATAGCAAATTGTTATGAGCACTCTTTATAGTGTAGACATACTGGCCCCTCATAAATGCCTTAAAGGCATCCCAAACAAATGGCACGGACATGGAAGTTAAGTTGTCCTCCCAATAGAGGAGCCACTTGAGCAGACACAGACTCCACTTCCAACCAGCCTGGGCTCAATCACCGTGCACCCCCCCCCCCCACCTATGAATGGGAAGCCAAGGGTAATGGATAGAGAGGTATGATCAGACAGGCCCCCTGGAAAATAATCGGCTTGATGGATAAGTTGTAATAGGGAAGCATTGGCGAATGCCAAATCGATCTGCGATGAGGACCTGTGCATCTTAGAAAGATGGGAATAACTGCTTGCAACCTCCGTAAGGGAGGCAGTTGTCGCCCAAGTTTGCAGGTCTAGCAAAGGAACTCTAGTAGGGTTGGAAGAATCCAGTGCTGTGTCCAAAACAGTATTGAAGTCCCCCGCAAGAAGGAGAGGGAGGTGCATGAAACAAGCCAATTTACACATTAAATCATATGACAATTGTACCTGAAATGGAGGAGGCACATACATGTTAACCAAGACCATTTTGGTGGTGAACAGGTCCCCAACCAAAATTAAGTAGCGTTTTCCTGCCACAAAGTGGTAGGCCATATAAAATGACAGAATGGGGTCAGTGCATGCTGAAGTGCATAGTGTATAGAAGTCACCAACTACAGAGTCAGTAGCTAAAGATCTCCAAACTTCGTGCGGCCTTCAGATTAGCACAACAACAGTGCGTAGAGAGCTTCATGGAATGGGTTTCCATGGCTGAGCAGCTGCATCCTAGCCTTACATCACCAAGTTTAATGCAAAGAGTTGTATGCAGTGGTGTAAAGCACGCCGCCACTGGACTCTAGAGCAGTGGAGACGTGTTCTCTGGAGTGATGAATCACGCTTCTCTGTTTGGCAATCCTATGGATGTATCTGGATTTGGTGGTTGCTAGGAAAACGGTACTTGCCTGACTGCATTGTGCCAAGTGTAAAATTTGGTGGAGGGGGGATTATGGTGTGGGGTTGTTTTTCAGGGGTTGGGCTTTTGCTCTTAGTTCCAGTGAAGGGAACTCATAAGGCGTCAGAATATCAAGACATCTTGGACAATTTCATGCTCCCAACTTTGTGGGAACAGTTTGGGGATAGCCCCTTCCTGTTCTAACATGACTGCGCACCAGTGCACAAAGCAAGGTTCATAAAGACATGGACAAGTTAGTTTGGGGTGGAAGAACTTGACTGGCCTGCACAGGGTCCTGGCCTCAACCCGATAGGGCCAAATATCGACCATCAGGGTCACTAAACTTTTTCTCCAGCAAAAAGGAAACCTGCAACAGGAAGAAGGGTCAGCCGCACTCCGGAGGATAGATTAATATAGTGTGTATTTATTGATCCATAGGACACACAAAACACCAGGACATGAATACAGGACTTTTTAACGCGTTTCACACGATCTTGTGCTTAATCACAACCAGATTATGCACGAGATCCTGTGAAAGGCGTTAACAAGTCCTGTATTCATGTCCTGGTGTTTTGTGTGTCCTCTGGATCAATAAATACACACTA